TCCCTGTCCCTGTCCCTGTGTCCCTGTCCCTGTCCCTCTCCCATCCCCGTCCCTGTCCCTGTCCCCCTGTCCCCAGGTGTCCCACAAGGCCCAGGAGTGTTTCGCCTTCAAGGCCCACCAGAGGTTCCAGGTGGGGCTGATCCAGCCCGCGGCCGTCAGCGTCTACAGCTACTACAGGATCGGTGTGGCCCTGTCCTTGTCACTGTCACTGTCCCTGTCCCCTGTGTCCCCGTGTCCCTGTCCCCTCTGTCTCCTGTGGCCTTGTCCCTGTCCCCTCTGTCTCCCCCCGTCCCTGTCCCCTGTCCCCTCTCCCTATCCCCATGGATGTCCCATGTCCCTGTCCCTGCCCCCAGTGCCACCCAGGTCACCTGTGTCACCTCTGTCACCTGTGTCCCCTGTTACCTCTGTCACATGTCACCTGTGCCACCTGGGTCACCTACCACATCTGTCACCTGCGTCACTTCTGCCACCTGGGTCACCTGGTTCGCATGTCACCTCTGTCACCTGTCACCTCTGTCACCTGTGTCACCTCTGTCACTTCTGTCACCTAGGTCACCTCTCTGGCACCTGTGTCCCCATCTCCTTGTGTCCCCCCAGCCAATGTCCCCATTGTCCCCACATCTCCATCTCTCCTGGCTGATGTCCCCACTGTCCCCATGTCCTCCAGCTGATGTCCCCATGCCCCCTGCTGTCCCCATGTCTCCATGTTCCCTGATGTCTCCTGCTGTCCCATGTCAGGGTGTCCCCCCTGGCTGATGTCCCCACTGTCACCACATCCTCCCTGGATGATGCCCCTTGATGTCCCCATGTCCTCCCAGGGGATGTCCCCCACTGTCCCCATGTCCCCTTCTGTCCCCTTCTGTCCCCTGATGTCCCCTGATGTCCCCTGATGTCCCCATGTCCCCTGCTGTCCCCTGATGTCCCCGTGTCCCCACAGATGATCGCTGCACCCGGTTCTACCACCCGGACAAGGAGGGAGGGAAACTGAACAAGATCTGCCAGGGGGACGTTTGTCGCTGCGCCGAAGGTGACACGGGACACGGGACACGGGACACGGGGCCATGGGGACATTCGACACGAGGGTGGGACGGGCAGACAGCCCTGGCAGGGTGGGACACGTCCTGGCCATGGTGGGACATGTCATGGTCATGGTGGGACACTCATGGTCATGGTGGGACACGTCCTGGCCATGGTGGGACACTCATGGTCATGGTGGGACATGTCATGGTCATGGTGGGACACGTCATGGTCATGGTGGGACACATCAATGATGAGATGTCACATGTTACGACCATGATGCGGACATGTCCCTGCCGTGGTGGGACATGTCATGACCCTGGTGGGGACATGTCATCGATGAGATGTCACATGCCATGACTGTGGTGGGGAACACCTCCCTGCCACAGTTGACCTTGCCGTGGTTGTGTCCCCGTGATGTCCCCACGATGTTCCCGTGATGTCCCCACAGAGAGCTGCTTCAAGCGGCAGGAGGAGCCCGAGGACATCACCGTCAACCAACGCATGGACCGCGCCTGCGAGCCCGGGGTGGACTTTGGTGGGACATGGGGACACTGGGGACACTGGAGACGTTGGGAGGATTGTGACATTGGGGACATTGAGGGGCAGTGGGAACGTTGAGGACAATGGGGACAATGGGGACATTGGGGGACAATGGAGACATTGAGGGACAGCGGGGACATTGAGGGCATTGGGGACATCGGGGACATTGGGGGACAATGAGGACATTGGGAGGATTGTGACATTGGGGACATTGGAGGACAGTGGGGACATTGGGGGACATTGTGGACAATGGGGGACAATGGGGATGCTGGGGGGATTGGGACATTGGGGACACCAGGGACAATGGGGACATTGGGGACACCAGGGACAATGGGGACATTGGGGACATTTGGGACAATGGGGACATCGGGGACATTGGGGGAAAATGGCGACACTGGGGACATTGGGGACACTGAGGACAATGGGGACAATGGGGACAGTGGGGGACAATGGTGACATTGGGGACACCAGGGACATTGAGGACATTGGGAACATCAGGGACAATGGTGACGTTGGTGACAACGGGGACATTGGGTGATAAGGCGTCATGGCGGGTGGAGTTCAGGACGTTGGGGACACGGAAGGGGCGGGGAGGGACACGGTGGGGACAGGGGACACGGAAGGGCCACCCTGGTGGTGGTGGCAGCGCTGTCCCCGTGTCCCCTGGCAGTGTACAAGGTGAGGCTGGTGGCCCGCGAGGAGACCCCGTCCCACGACAATTACATCATGGAGGTCCTGTCGGTCATCAAGATGGGTACGGTCACCACGGAGGGGGACCAGGCCACCTCGGGGCTGGGACCAGGCCACCACGGTGGGGACAAGGCCACCACGGGGGGGACAAGGCCACCACGGGGCTGGGACCAGGTCACCACGGGGGGGACAAGGCCACCACGGGGGGGACAAGGCCACCTCGGGGCTGGGACCAGGCCACCTCGGGGGGGACAAGGCCATCACGGGGGGGACAAGGCCACCACGGGGCTGGGACCAGGTCACCACGGTGGGGACAAGGCCACCACGGGGGGGGACAAGTCCACCTTGGGGCTGGGACAAGGACACCATGGTGGGGACAAGGCCACTACGGGGGGGACAAGGCCACCTCGGGGCTGGGACCAGGCCACCTCAGGGCTGGGACCAGGCCACCACGGTGGGGACAAGGCCACTACGGGGGGGACAAGGCCACCTCGGGGCTGGGACCAGGCCACCACGGTGGGGACAAGGCCACCACGGGGGGGACAAAGCCACCACGGGGCTAGAACCAGGTCACCACGGTGGGGACAAGGCCACCACGGGGGGGACAAGGCCACCACGGGGCTAGGACCAGGTCACCACGGTGGGGACAAGGCCACCACGGGGGGGACAAGGCCACCTCGGGGCTGGGACCAGGCCACCACGGTGGGGACAAGGCCACCACGGGGGGGACCAGGCCACCTCGGGGCTGGGACCAGGTCACCACGGTGGGGACAAGGCCACCATGGGGGGGACAAGGCCACCTCAGGGCTGGGACAAGGCCACCACACGGGACAAAGCCACCACACAGGGGACAAAACCACCACAGGGAGAGAAATGGCCATCACAGAAAGGGGACAAGGCCACCTCTGGGGGGACAAGGACACCTTGGGGCTGGGACAAGGCCACCATGGTGGGGACAAGGCCACCACACAGGGGACAAAGCC